GGTTCCTTTGCAGTGCTATACCACTGTATTCAGATTGTTTTCAGTTTCTGTGGTTCAGGATTGTACAGGGCTTCCTTTTTAACTAGTTACTGTTTATTTCTCCTGATAACTGTTGTCCTGGAACAAGATGAAATTAATGGGACTGGTCAAAAGTACATATATAAATTTGGGATTTATCAAATCCCCAGTTGGAGTTGTATTAGTTATGTAATTTTCTGTTTTTAAAAAATGAGTTTCTGGGCATAAATGGGTTTCTCTGTGTTAGCACATGGTTTCTGAGTCTTACAGTGTTATCATGGTCACCAAATTAGTGTAAAGAAGAAATTTACTTATTGAAAAAACAAGTATTTCTTAGGTAAGTAAGGTGTAAATTATGGGCAGATTTCTTTAAACTAGTTAGACTCCAGAGGAATAAACACGTGTCTTGGAAAACTTGAGGATTTTGAGACTTCTTAGTAATTTTACTTTAAGAATCAGTTATATTCTGCACTTCAAGTTACCAATTTACTGTCTTTGTCGCTTTACAGCATCCTCCGGTTAACATTAAACTTCTCCCAGTGGAGCCACAAAGTAAACAGCTCATGACTTCTGATCAGGACGCTAAGGTCGTGGCTGAACCTCAGGGCCAGCGAGTCCAGGAAGGGAAAGACGGCGCTCATCTGGTAAGTGTGCGTCTGAGGCCAGGATTGGCTCGGTGAACCTCTCTTCTCTCCTTCTGGTGACAGATTCGACATTGGACTTAATAAATAGATCAAAATAATGACACTTGCATATCCTATGAACTAAATATAGGTGCTATATTCTGAATAAATTTATGGGTGGCTTAGTAGAGGAAACTGTGAGTACCAGGTCATGGAGAAAACAAACAGCAGTTATAGCTCTAGATGCTTAAAGCTTTGGGTTTTAGATCACCAAGAAACATGCAGTGATTTATAAATACTTTAGTAACAGTAGAGCTGTTGTGGTATATATTTAAAGAGTTAATTAGGACTATATCATAAGTTTTTCATTTTGAGTACTTTCATTTATTGTAAGAGTTTATCATGTCAAGCAGTATATTTAAAGTTCCTAAATGGCTTTGGAAAATGTAGATTTTTGTAATTTTCCCCATTGACTATAATTTTCCCCATAAGACTATAAGAATTTTACTTATGGTGTTCAGTCAGAGTTTCAAAATATTTTATATTTCAAGGCTGCTACATCAGTCTGGTCTGAATATCTCGCTGGATTTCTTTGTCATGTAAAAATGTGCTTTTCTTAGTGGCTTTTGTTTTGCTAAATGACAAATATAGTTTGAAAATATGTTTCTTTACGTTGCAGTGATGGTGTGTTTGATGTTTTCAATTTTACAGATGAATGGTCCCATATCTCAAAGCACTTCTCAGACAAGTTCCATCCCAGCTTTGAGTCAGGTAATTCAGGTCTGAGATTAATCACAGCCAAGGCTCACAGATGTCTCCTTATTTTAATGTAAAAAAATTAGAAAATGTTGATGTTTCCCAAAAAGGGCTGGGAGGACTGAGCTGGGTACAGTAGACGTCAGTACTGCATGTCCTCTCCTGGCTTCTGTGTGTGGTATGCGTCTGGTTCCACGGATGGCGGTGTGCCTGGTGTGTTAATTTAAGGTCAGATATTCATCACAGTGTTTTTAATGGTTCATTGATTATCTGTTGTCTGTCTATGATTAGCTTTACGTTTTGATAGCCTGTGTTCTTTAAAGCACACAAGTCATAGTAAGCATTTACTAAGCAAATTAGTTTCACATTTTAGTTGAGATTAATGAAAGAATAAGGAGATAGAGACCATTGGTTTTTAAAGCCTGCTTTGTACCATTGTTCATGCGAATGGCAGGTGCATTTGGAGCCACTGCAAATTTAGCTTGGCAGTCTTCTAAGTGATCTTCTAAACCTCACAAAATTTAAAAAGTAAACCTTTTTTTATTAAAGTAAAATTTTAAAGTAATCTTACAAAATTTATAGTAAACCTTATCTATTCCCTCAGATTATAAGCAGTTAATGTAGAAATTAAAGGAGGGGATTGGATTGTTGATCTACTTTAATAAGGTAGAATTTTAAAAAGTGAAAGACTTCTCCAAACTGTTGTATTTTATTGTTGTTATTCAATTAAGTATGTATTTTTTTGTATATTGTATTTTACGTTGATATTTTTAAAAATGAATTTTATAATATTTTAAGTAAAACCCAAATATAAGACCTCTAGTAGTCCAAGAGGGAAATTATACAGAAATCATTGAGAGATTTTAAAAAAGTTGGGGGGGGGACACAAATCTCCCTCTTCCCCATGGTTGATTTGCAGTCCAACATAACTTTCAAATGTCTTTAAAACCTTTTGCAAGACATAAAACTAGATTTTGGATTCTATGTGGTTTTTAAGAATTATTTTGTGAGATTTGAGATAATACTTATCTAGAAAAGAAGTGAAACACCTGAGCCAGAATTCAGTATTTCATTTCTGTGGAGAAATAATTTGCAACTAGTATTGCCTACACGTGCTTTCTAAGAGTCGTTTTTTTTAAGAGTTAACATCCTATAACAGAGTATCATCTGGTGAGTTCTTGGTCCAGGCCTGCTAATCAGTACCCCTGGTGTCCCTTGGGCAGATCACATCTCTGATAACAGGTTTTATAAAATGTGGATATACTATTTAACATTTTTACAGGGTTTTGCACTCTTTAGGTTTTCATAGGATCATTAAATACTAGAGCTGGAAGGTACCGTAAGAGACCATCTGGGCTCACAACATGTGTCATTTAAAACTTTATTTGAAACTAACTTAAGCATCCTTACAGAAAATAAAAGTCTTGTTAAAGTGTACACACATTTTTGTGTAGTTGTAATCAATATATACGTATTTTAACTCATTTTTTCCCACATAGCATGCTTTCGCCTATATGTCATCTTGTACTTGCCCTGTAGTATTTTCTTTATTTTGATATGCCTTTATTTCTTTAGCCATTTGGTTTTGGGGGGCATTTAAAGTGTTTATTTTTTTCCTGCTATTATAAATGGCATTGCTCTGAACATTTTTCTGACTGGCATTACTCATGGCGCAGCTAAGTGTGTGGACAGCTTACTTTGTTTAGTGGCTCTGAGTGTTGATGCTCAGTAGTCAGCAGTTGTTAGGATTGGTAAGTGAGTATGCTTAGCAGTCTGGTTTAGGAACCAGTCTCTCTAAGGTCTAGTCTTCCCCCAAGGGTGGATGCAGTGTGAGTAGGAGGAGAGTCACCATAGAGATGTCCAAATGTTTGAATAATTCAGGAGCAGTTTGCATTTATCCAGTGATACATCAGTCATATTTATTATACAGCTCCCTGCCCCCCCAAAAGAAACTTAGTGAGTAATAACTATTTACAAGCCTCGCCAATCAGTGAGCACCAAAAAGTGATCTTAACTAGAGGAAACTGAGACCTGAACAGGCTTAAGTAATTTCCCCCAAGATTACTCAACTAGAAAGTGGCAGAACCAGTATTTGAACCCAGCAACTTGCCTTCAGAGTCCAAACTCAAGATGAGATACTTCATCTTTGGCATCTGTTATTTCATTTAAAAGGAGAAACAACAAACAGAAAATAATACCAAAACCAAAACCCAGCTCTTGTCAGCCATTTGCTGACGATTTGCATTGTCGCCTAGTGGTTGAAATTAATTTGGGATAAAGCTGGAGGATTTTAGGTGAGGAATAGTATGACACATTATAGGAACATTATTTTGACCTCATTATATTAAGAGAATGGATTGTAACGAGTCAAGAATGGAAGCAAAGAAATGAAATTTAGAAACTATCAGGTAATGAAGGTGAGAAATGATTGTGGCTTAGACTAGGATTGAGTGAATTTCAAATTGATTTTGGAGGTGGATTTAACCACACCTTTTTGTAGATTGGTTGTAGAGATTGGGGCGAGGGAAAGATAAATCAAGCATAGCTGAGCAACTTGATGGATGATGGTTTCATTTATTTTGAGATGGAAAACAATGGAGAAGTAAAGGTTTGGGGAGGGACTGTCCACCTGGTAGAAATTCAGGCAAGCAGCGAAGTGGGCGGGTGGGACCCATTGGACCTCAGTGGAGAGGTTAGAGCCTGGGATGTAAATCTGAAATAAAGAAATAGATGTTTTTCTGTATTTATTATGTAGAAAAGACTATTAAAACTACTGTTATATATGGGGATTAGGGGTAAGCAGTTAAAAAGTAACTGAGTTACCATTTAGTATAAAATTTTTTTCCCCTCTGTAACTTTCTGCCCACCATTAAGGTTTTTATATCCTTCAAGAGCATTCTCAGCTATAACTGATATCTTCATTGATTCATCTTTTTCCTAGTCACCTGTAATACTTCCTATATGTATATTGATTAAAATTCATTTAAGAAATTATATTCTATGTTATTTTTCTGAATGTTTCAAATTATAAGTTTTATCTTGGGAGTTTTAAGACCCATAAGGGCAGGAACTATGTAATGTAGCTCATTGATAATTCTCTGCAAGGCATACTTTACTTAAATTGGAAAGAAGTTTCATTAATATCAACATGGTATAATTGATAGTTTAGTCATTCATCCTAAAAACTTTATATATATCATATATATGTGATTTTATATATATTCTATGTATATGTATATGTATGTATATGTATGTGTATATATACATTTTATATATATCATGTATATTATATATATATATATGTATCTTTGTGGTTACCATGGGGATTACATATAACATCCAAAAGTTATAATTATCTAATTTAAATTGATGCCTGCTTAACCTCAGGAGCACGCAAAAGCTCTACTCCTATAAAGTTCTCCACCCCTGGTGTCACAAATTACATCTTTATTATTTTGTGTGCAATAACGTAGGTTTATAATTATTTTTATGCATTTGCCTTTTAAATCCTGTAGAAAACAAAAAGTGAAGCTGTAAATAAAAATTTGAATGCTGGCTTTTATAATTGTATATTTACCTTTATCAGAGAGTTTTATTTCTTCATACAGCTTTGAGTTACTGTCTCATGTCCTTTCATTTCAACTTGAAAGCCTCCCTTTAGCATTTCTTGCAGGACAGATCTAGCAGTAATGAGCTCCTTCAGCTTTTGTTTATCTTGGAATGTCTTAATTTCTCCTTCATTTTTGAAAGACAGTTTTGCTAGATAAAGAATTCCCAATTGACAGTTTTTTCTTAGAGTGTTTAACTATACCATCCCACCACCTTCTAGCCTGCAGGGTTTCTAATGATAAATTGGCTGATATTCTTATTGAGGATCTCGTGTACTTGACAGTCATTTTTTTCTTAGACCTTTCAAGATTTTTTTTTGTCTTTTGACAGTTTGATTATGATGTGTCTTCGTGTCTGTTTCTTTGGGTGTATCGTACTTGAGTTTGTTGAGCTCTTAGATTTGTAAATGCATGTATTTCATCAAATTTGGGAAGTTTTCGGCCATTATCTCTTCAAAGATTCTTTTTTCCCCTTCCTCTCTTCTTCTGGGCCTCCCATAATGTATATATTGGTCTACTTGATGATGTCCCGTAAGTCCATTAGTCTCTGTTCACTTTTCTCTGTTCTTTTTCCTTCTTCGCTGACTCAATAATTTCAGTAGTCCTATCTTCAAATTTGCCGATTCTTTCTTCTACCTGTCCAAGTCTGTTTTTGAACCTCTCTAGTGAATTTTTCAATTCAGTTATTGTGCTTTTCAGCCCCAGATTATTTCTCTTTGATTCTTGTTTATAATTCCCGTCTCTTCATTGATATTCTGTTCGTATATCATGTTCCTGGTTAACTTCAGTTTCTGTCCATGTTTTCCTTAGCTCTTTGAGCATATTTAAGATGATTGTTTTAAAGTCTTTGTCTAGTAAGTCCCATGTCTGAGCTTTCTCATGGACTAATTTGGTTCATTTGAATGAGCCGTATTTTCCTGTTTCTTTGTATGCCTTGTGATTTTTTTTGTTGTTTTTGAAAGTTTGGCATTTGATTATAATGTAACTCTGGAAATCAGATTCTCTTCTTACCCAAGGTTTGTTATTTGTTGATATTGTTGAAGGCTCTAGTAGTCTCAATATTTTGAGACTTTTCCAAACTATTTTTGTAAAGACTGTTCCTTGTCATATGTGTTCACTGAAGTCTCTTCCTTTAGCTTATGTTCAGCTAATGTTTTGACAGAGATTTCCTTGAATGCCACAAACTGAAATAGACAGTCAGCCAAAAAAACCCCCAAAGAACAAGAGAGAGTACCACTGCCTCTCCCAGTCTTTGTAGACTGGCTGTTTGCTGGGGTAGTCCCTTGCCGATTGGCTCAGCTTGCTCGGAGACCAGAGATCAGCCTGAGGTGAAAGCCTAACGTCTTCTGAAGACTTTTTTGAGCATACATCTTGCCTGGATGTGGCTTTCTGAATTCCCCACATACTTGGCTGCTTTTGAATATCCTGATTTCCCAGAGTTTTACCCCAGCTTCTTCTCTGGTCTTTAGATGGTTCTTGCATGTCTCCACCTGTCATCTCTGCCCCAGGTGTGTGTGGGTCTGTAGCTCCCTTCTAGCTTTTATGAGCACTGCCTACCGCTTTTCTCTTTGTGTTCTGAGCTCTGTGAGATCAGATGAGTGAGTCAGTCCTTCAGGTAACCTCCAGCTAGGACAGAACAGATGTACATACTAATTTGCAAGTGCTGTATACTCTGCTCCCTCTGGTTCCAGGAGGGGATCTGGGACTTGGGCTGCTGCCACCTCAGACCAAGACCACACCATGCCACAGAACGTTCCTGCCACATGGAGGGCAGCTGTTTCTTGATTGTGTTTTCTTAGTTGCTGTAAACCTATAATTGTTTTTTAAGAGCTCCTACAGAGTTGGTTCAGAAACTTCTGGTTGTTTTCTTGATATTGCTGTGGGAGAGGAGAGTTTGGAGCTTCCGAGTTCATCATTTTGCTTGACTTATCATAAAGTTTAAATGAAAACATTTTCTGGATTGTCTTTGTTGATTTAAATTGTTCTTCTAATAATATAGAAATACTGATAAGTTCTTAATGCATGTGCATGTAATTCTTATACAAATATAAAACATGACTGCCCAAACCTATAAAATGCAAATTAATGACATTCATTTAGTCTAGTGGGTAATGTTTTGCTGAAACTCAAGCTGCTTCACCAAGTACTTGAGGTACTAGTTACTCAGAATTTCTTTACATTTGCCACAACCTAAACTGCTGAATGCCATGTGAATGATTTTCTACTACTTTTGCCACTTTATTTCTGTGGCACACCTTCGTGTCACCTGGCCCTCACTGGGCATGAATGAATTTATGACATTTTAAATCCAACTCTTTTTCAGTAGATTAGGTCAATTTAAGTATTGTCACATGGTACCACTGCACTCTTAAATCTATTTGCAGGCGTGGGCTGGTTATCTTTAAAATTTTGTGTTTGCGTCTTTTAATTCTCTCAGGAAGCTTGCAGATTCCCAGGGCACCACAAACCCCAGTTTGAGATAGTTGATGGTACAGACACTAAGACTTGCTGTTAGGATGATTTCCTAGAGGCGTGGGGAGCAACCAGCATGTGGGGTAGGAGACAGTTATTTTGCGGAATTGAGAGGGATGGCCTTAAAAAGGATGTGAGATTTGGTCAGTGGGAAGACCTGATAAATGGCTCAAGCAAAGACAGACTATGCTGGAGTTGGTCAGTTGGGTGTGTTTGGGATGAAATAGAGAAGATAAGGAGGATGGTATTTTAGAATGAGAGGCAGTTATGGTGGTGGGCTGGGGTAGGGTATGAGGACTTTGAAGTGATATTGGGGTTTTATTCTAAGTATTTTACTTAATATCTTCACAACAACTCTTTATGATGGGTACTGGTATTGGCTCCATTTTACAAATGAGAAAACTGAGATCAGGAGGTTAAATAATGTGCCAAAGCTAGACATGTAGTATAGCTTCACACGTAGTACAGCTTACACACGTAGTATAGCTTACACACGTAGGAAAGTGGACTGAGACTCACAGCTAGGGAGATGAGCTCATGAGCCTCCCTCTGTAACTGCTGCTCCATGTAACTGCAACAGGTGAAGGGTGTGTGTCATCCTGGATAAAGAATTGTTTTCATGTGGATAGTTTACTCTCTTTAGTGATACAAAGAGCTGTATAACTTGTGAGGTCTTGCACTGTTCTGCCCTCAGTTCTTCATTCTCCTTACCTGTAGAATGGGGTTAATATATCTACCTTGGGTTGTTAGGAGTGTGAATTAAAGTGTGTAACGTAATGAAAATATTTGTGTACTTAAAATTTTGTGGCACATAGTGCCATAGAAAGTTATAATTATCATCATCATTTGCTGCAGTTTCAGTACCTGAACTTAAGTATATTCAGAAGTGTTCCTGTTATCTTCATATTTAAGTAGAATTCGTATACTGCTTTCATAAAATATAAATAAAGCATAAAATATAGTGTTTTATAAAATGGAAGTAGGACTAGTAGGACTAGCCATAACTTGTAGATTAAAGTAGACAGAAAAATGTCTCTCACAGAGGAGTTAACAGGATTATTTTGTTTTTAAATATCGTATCAGAACCATAATAAGAAAAGAATTGCTTATACTGAGAACAATACTTACAGCTGTGGATAAGACCAGACCCATTGTGTGTGTCAGCAGTCCTGGACCACAGTGCCGGGGCTCTTCTTACTACTGCAGGAAGAAAGGGTTTAGGGGCTTTTGAGGGGATTCCTGGTTATTGGACTGGTGGGTGTGGAATTTCTTTCTCTTTTTCTCTTGTTCTGTTCTTTTTCTTAATTAGAATTTTCAGACATCTGCAGAAGTAGAAAGAATAATAAAATGAACCCGTGTACTCATCATGAACTTGAACAATTACCACTCTCACATTTTGCAACTTTTGTTTCATCTTTTCCTCCCCTCTACACGCTCTTTAAAAAGATGTTATATATGTATGTATTTACTACTGCTTTATTTGCTGGGGTGTTTTAAAGCAAATCTCAGACAATGTGCCATTCACCGTAAACATACCAACATGCTTCTCTAACAGACACCAGTTCCAGTTGTGCCTAGCACAGTTATTCCTGAACATCCACAGACGTCATTTCTCAAAGGCAGAAAATTAGGTACAACTATAAGTACCTATAAGTTTTAAAGAAAAAATTTTTTATTATTGTTTCCTCTGGGGGGTATACCTGCTAACTTCAGTTGCCGCCATACCATGAAATACAGTTTAGAGAATGCTGAAGCACTAGAGAAAGCGAAAGTGTGAAATTCCTTCTGGCTAGGATAATTTAGTTATTTTTTATTGAGTTTATGAGAATAAGAAAAGTAATACGAAAATTTTTGTTGCTATTCTGACTCCACATGCTATTTGGGTTTCAGTGCGTAGAGTAGGATGGCTGTTAGGCAGGGTCTGTTATGATTAGGATTTTGGATTTGAGTGGCAGGGACATGTGACTGCTGTGCAAGGGGTTATTTTTGGTGTCTGGGTGTCGGCTTCTTGTCAGAAACCATAGAAAGTTAGTGAGATGCACTTGTGGAGGCTCAGAAAACGACAGGCGTTATGTGAGTTTTTCAAGTTTCGAACATGGGTTGTTGCTTCAGCAAAGAATTAAGTAGTGAAAATGACAATGAAAAAACTGGCCTTTTACAAAAATCTGTGGAGGAGAAGGAACCGGAGAACAAGATAAGTAAAACTTTATCTTCATTATTTGATACCCTTGAAGGTGAGGAGCTTCACAATGTTGGACATGGAGCCAGCGGGGCAGCTGCTGGAGCCAATACACGGACAAGGGCTTGTGCGAGGCCTGGGCACAAACAAGGTCACAGACCAAGACAGTTGTTTAACTCTTTTTCCTCTTCAATGTATAAGTTCTTAACTAGGTATGAAAATTTAGATGAGACTGACAAGAACCCAGATACAGTTGTTATTGAGCAGGATTGTAAAAATGCCTGCGGTACTCGGTGTGTGGGCACTGACAGTAAATGGGGTTTCTCTGAGAGTGTTTGCTCTGAAGATGGCGAGTCTCTTTCCTGTGTCCTGGTGCCTTCCTACCAGGGCATGCGGGAAGTAGCCCTTGTAAATTACCATTTGTGCCGTTGCCCAGCCACCTGTGAAAACTCTGTGATGGAGAAAGAAGTAGCCATAAATGTTCGCATCAGCAGTGATGATGAGAATAACTCTTTAGGTATGTCTGGTAGGGAGACAAAGGATGAAAACCGTATTTGTGTTGATCACAAACGATGTAGGAATTCAAGAGACAGTGAGTTTTACAGTATTTGTGTTGTAGATGCTGACTGCCTGGATGTTGAAGACGAATTGTGTACTCGGGTATGTGGAGCAGCTGCAGCAGAAGAGAGTCATTCAGCTGTCACCTCTGAGGGGACTCGCAGAGGGGCCTGGCCAGCAGATAACACTGCACAAAGGCCAGGGGAGTTAGAGGCACTGCAGAAAGAGCTGTCCCCAGAGGGCATGCCGGGTGCAAATGAAATGAAGGAAGTCTTTAATGAGAAAACTAAACTTAGTTCTGAGCTTGTGACTGACAGTGACCCACCCTGTAAAGTAAATGCTGATGACACGCAGGCTGAGTCTTTCAGGGCCAGCACTTACACCAGGTTCCCTGAAGATTACACAGAAAGTAATGCATTACCTAACGTTGGCATACTCCCTGAGTTACATATTAACATAGACGTGCTGGAGTCTAGTGTGTGTGCAGTCCCTAAAGAAAGAGAGAGCTGTAGTTCAGAACTAGTAAGTCCGATGGGTGATTCGAATGTTAATTTAGTTAATGACACTTCAAATGTGGAAAAAAATGGTGAGTCTGGGACTGTAACAGCTAGTGTAGATCAGAATTTAAACTCTGAAAAGGAAGGAGAAAATAACTCTGTAAAACCACTAAAAGATAATCATTGTTCCACCTTAGATATTAGCAGATCAGCCAGTAGTCTCCTTTCCATAAATCTGGATAGAATTAATTTAAGTTCAAGAAGATGTATCACTTCATTGAGCTTTGGAAATGAGCATATTCCCATTCATGCTAATTTCCAAGAAACAGCCCCTAACAGAATTGCTGGTTCCGGACCTGAACACCTCCTGGGGCCAGTGATTGAGGAGCAGCACTGGGGGGACTATAGCCTGGAAACTGGGAGCATCCAGCTTTCAAACAAAGGAGAGTTGTTTTTGGAATCTGAAAATAGATCATCTTATCAAGATGAGGATAAAATTAGCATTTTTGAAGATGAAGGTTGTGGTAAGAGGGCTTTTGAATGGAGACCTTCGTGTCAGGTAGATCTCTTTGTAGGTGCTGGGGCCGGCAAGGTCCAGGCACAGATCTGTGATTTAACTCATGCAATGCGGGAAACAGAAGAGGAGAGAATGTTCCAAAGAATAGACACCATGGGACTCAGAAGTTCACAGGAAGCGCCCTCAGATGACGAGTCACTTGATGGCGCCAGATGTCGTAAGAATAACTTTATTTCCTCTGCATTTATTTTCACTTGCACTGAAGAAGAAAGTGAAACAGGCCTGAATTATAAAGCAGAAGGTAAAATGTGTGTGCATAGTTCAGGGAGTGACCTTGACAGATTAGAAAGTGCTGAAAAAGAATCACAAAAAGCTAATCCCAGAGAGAGAAGTAAAAATGATATAGAAAATGTCAAATCAGACTCTAAAACAACCTTTGACTGGGAAACAGATACCCTAAAATGCAAGGCAGCACCCATTCAGGATGTACTGGCTTGTGCTGGTTCTAGGATAACAGAAATCCCTGATTTTGAAACAAATCAAATAGAAAAAAATAATGAAAGCCATAGAGTGAGTGACTACAGATGTGAAGATCTTAATCTTGTACCACCTTTAAACCAAAGTTCGAATTCAGCTGTACAGAGGTCGGAAGTAGAGATTGACTCTGTTAACAGTGATAGAAATCTGGGACTGAAGCAGATTTTCTCCGAATCAGCCAGAGAAGTTTCTGGTGGCTTTGGTAGTGCGTCGGGGGTGAGCGAACCAAAACTAACAGATAAGGAAGAAGAAAAGAGACTTTATTTGGAGAAAGACAGCAGTGATCCCAGCATCGTCGACTGTGTAGGTCCATGTGGGGCAAGCAGACATGCACAGCACTGCACACAAGGAAATGTTGAGCCCACCATTAAAGGACCCACGTTAAACAGTGGAGTGGATTTTCTGGGACGCCCAGAGGTGATTTTTGGAAAAATGGAGTTGTGTGACACTCTTGAGGGGCATTCTTGTTTGGCTGGTGTCGATTCTGCCCTAGTGGACAGATACACAGCTGCTCCTCATGATATACTGCAGGTAGTTCCTGTCATCCCAGGTGACAGCAGAGACGACCATGTTTTATCATTCACAGAAGATGCTGTACATATAGCTGAAAACCCCTCAAAAGGGGATTTGCAGAGCTTCCCAGAGAAATTGTACTCCCAGTTTTTGAATGAACTTTCCTGTTACCCGATGGGAGGCTTGTCAAGCCAGATATTTTCCGAAAGACTGGCGGATGGTTGTGGATATCAAGGGGGCTGTCTCTGGACTGGTACAGTTGCGAAAGGCGGGTTAGAAGATGAACAGATGTTCAGTGACGACCTGCGCAGTGAGCAGCAGGACTTAGAGATCACCTTGTTTTGGATGGAAAAGCCCCCTCATCAGCCTCCAGTGGCACAAGATGGTGTTATTTGGGGATGGCAAAACAGAGGTGGACAGTTAGTAAGTATGTTTCATCAGTTTTCATGATTGTGCTGGGATATGCTCATCTCTCATTTTGATTGCTTTTAACGTAACAAAATATTTATTCTAAACAATTGGCACTTGTTTGAATGTTTATATAAGGCTCTGGCTCTGAGTTACTCTGGCGTCGATTTAACCATTTCCAAATTGGAGAATATGAATTTAATTCACTGTTTAGTATATTTAAACCAGAGTTTGTGTGTCAACTCTTGTTAGCCCCAAACCCTACACTGCTGCTGGTCAGACGCAGCGTTGTGCAGATGTCTTCTGTGTGTGGACATTGTGTGGTGTGCTCGTGAGTGCTGCCCTGCCCGATCCCTGTCCTTCCTCATCCCCTGCTCCTTGTTAGAGCACAACACATATTTCACCCATTGGGTGTTGAAAGGCGTCTCTGAAAGGTCACACTTGCAGAGTATAGATGAATTAGAATCTGACTTACCACTACTTTTGTATGGTACCTGCCTAAGGCGGGTAAAATTTGCTGCTTTAACTGGCTTTGAGATCTTGATTCTGTGTCCTTTCAGTCAGAAGCTTTTCAGACCACGGTGCTCACGATGCTCGTTTGGAAGAGGCTTCACAGATGATTCTGCAGTGGGCAGCCAGTTTGAGCTTCTTTTAGGAGTTCTGTAATAAATGCAAACATTTAACAAACAGGAAGTTAGTCTTGCTCTTCAAGCAGTCCCTTTGGACATGTGTGATTGAAAGGGTGTACTTGTAATAGCAAAATTACCTCTATTCAACCAGTAGTTTCTTATTAGTGGGTTTTTGTTGCATTAAGTGAGAATAATGATTGATACTAGTAAGGAGATAGATGTGGCTGAAATGTTGATGCCTGTTATTTGTAAATAAACAAGTAGAGATTAAGTCCTATAATTTAGGGAATTATCCACCACCCTCCTTCTTTCCTTTCGAAGCCCACATTTGGGAGTCTTACCAGAAAGAGCTATGTTCACATTAATCAGTTTTGTTCCTTAAATAGTTATAGAGGCAAAACACTACAAAATTAGGCCTTTAAATAGTACATATGTAATTGTTTACGAAGCGGGGATGATTGGTAGTTGGCTTGTCTGTGCTTGTCCCTCAGCTTAGAGTGCCTGGCTTCTGTTGCTGTCCTGGTCTTTGGCCTTGAAGTGACATGCGTGTGACTTCCGGATTAGCTTTTCAGTTATGAGACCACACCCAGATGGTGTTCTGATCTGACATACTGTTTTAGTGATGGTGCTTTCTCTTCAGAGCTCCAATTCTCAGAGTGCTTGTACAGACATCATTTTCGTAGTAATCTTATATAGCAGCTCTTACTCCATTTTGCAAATAAAGAGCCAGAGGTATGAGACTTCATGACTCTAAGGCCAGTGAATCACTCTGAATTATTAAACTTACTTAGTGGTAAATCCAGGAATAGTCCCTGCTCACTTATCTCAGCTGTTTTATATTCTCCACCTACCTTTCCCCTTCTATGATATTAGTTACTCTAGTTCCTACTCAGTAACTTGTCAGTGGGACCATTCTGTCCCATGTCCAGAAGACACAAATTTATGAATTGGTAGGTTATTTTTATTTTAATGGGGCACAGTGTTTGGGGGGTAGGAGAGTTTCTTTAGAGTGTCGGAATTTAGGGATGCTGTACTCTTCAAAGAGTAACATTGGTCATTTATGTAAAATTGCTTCGGAGTGTGGCTGTTAGGGTCCACTCACTGCTGCTTCTAGCAACCATTGTTTAGCCGCGAGTGTTCAGTGGAGAAATAGGACTTAGGCAGTCAAGCAGATGAAACTTGCGTTGCTGGTCATCAGTTGGAGTTCATATGACTGCAAGAGAATAACCACATTTTAAAGAAATATGTTTAATACAAGTTATTTCTCATGTGAATTACAAGAATTTAATGAACTCTTGATAAATGTTTTATTTTTGCTGATAGTAGAACAGTCTTCTAATTATAGTCATTTTCATGAGCAAGTTACTTAACCATTCTCTGCCTTGGTTTTCTCATTTGTGAAATGGGGGCAGTGGTAATAACCCTCATGGGATTGTCATGGTTCAGTACAATACATGCCTAGAGCATGCCTGGTACCCAGCAGGCTCTTTAGTGTCAGTTGTCATGGCATTAGCTTGTAATTATAAGTCTCTGTTTTTTCATCCCTTGTCACATGTCAGAGTATCTCTTGAATACTGGTTAACTGCTTAAAATTGCGTTGTCTCTAATACTAGATTTGGATTTGAGTATTTACTACTTAAGAAGTAGTAAATTACATAAGGATAGGGTTCTATTCAGTTGTAGCATAAAATCTTTCACACTTTGTCAAATAGTGGAAAATAGAATTTTCTGAGTTACTACTGTTTTAAACATTTATTCCTTCAGCATATTTCTCAAGCACCTCTATACTGAGTTCAGGAGTGCTGAGTATTTGTGGTACAGGGTGAACAAGATGGACATCCAAGAGTTTTTGGGCTGGTGGGAAAGACAAGACGCGTTCTAGCAGTGTGAGTGCTGTGGTGGCTCTCAGATTTGTTTACGGGCAGTTCACTTCCAGGACGGTGTGTGATCTGTGTTTGTGAACTATAGTCAGTGGCAAAAGGTGCTAAAAATGGAAAAGACCAATGTTAGCTCATGTTAGGAATTTAGAGAATGTGTCGTATGTACGTGAGATCAGGGGGTCAGGTCCGTTGGTGGAATAGCACTAACATGGGAGAGCTTGGTGTCTGTTGTGGCGTGATGGAAAGAGACCCGGTTTAATCAGAAAAGGTGTTTACGCAAGTGTTGAAATAAGAAAGAGAATAGAGACCTGAGTTTAAAAAGAAAAATGGTTTAACTGCTGAGGAGGGTAGTGGTGTCTGAGCCGTGGAGTGGCTTCTGCGCCGCTGGGTGTGCTCATGAGGCCAGGGGCTCACCGTTCTGTCCTGTTGCCTAGTGCTGTGCCTGGTGCTTGGTGAGCATTTGGGAAGCGTTTGTTGGAGAGAGGAGTGGATGAGAGAGACAAAGAAACAGTGTGCAGAAGCAGGGGCCAACAATGAACCGGGAAGTTTAGAAGTTATGTGAGAAGGGAGACTGGAGAGTCATTGCTTCTTGAGTATAATATTCTTCAAGGAGAAGGGGAACCTTAATTTCTGCCCTATCACCAATACTTAAAAAATAAGAATTCCAGATAGGTGCTCACTCAAGCATCTGGTTTTGTGGGCATGATGTTTATTGATTACCCTTGCTTCCTAGGTGTGAACAAAGTATATCCTGTAACCACATCAGCCTCTAATCTTAATTTCAGGAATAGTTTTGTTTTTCACTGCAAGCTTTAATCACCCTAGCTAGAATGAACTTATTCTCTCTTTTTAAGATTGTTAATCTATATGTTGTTTCCTCGATGGCTCATCATGCTGCTTCCTGATCCTTTTCACGTTTGGAGGCAGCATCGGGGGATATCTGCTCGTCTCTGGGGTGGTGCAGGGAGGCTGCACTCAGCCTCGAGCTCCTGCCTGGCACTGCCCAAGGGCTTCTGGGACCAGGACCCTTGTCCCTCCCTTTGAAGCTCTGACCCCTGCATAGTGGTGTCAAGGCTTGTGATACCTGGGACAACAAATAATTTGGCTAGGTTTGCTGAAGGATTGTAGCAACAGGACTAGAGTTAGCTTGGGGAGCAGCTGCCTCCCCTCCCCGCCCAGGACATCGACTTTTCTTTAGACTTGGGGAGCCACTCAAGGTTTGTAAGCAGAAGAAAATCAGGGAGTGGCTGTGGATTTAATAAGGTACGCCAGAAAAGACCTCTCCAATTCCCAAAGGAAGCAAAGGTGTGAGCCGTGTGGATATCTGGGAGAGTGTTCTGGACAAACAGGCAGGAAGAGCAGAAGTGCCTGGTGTGTCTGGGACAGTACGGAGGCTGGTGTAGCTGAAAATGTGCAAGGTCAAGAGGTGGCCACACCAAGCACCTCTCTGACACACCTATCAGAAGACCTTTGTTCTTCTGAGGAACTTTCGTTTTCTATGACCTTTGCTTATGTGAATGTTTGAGCTTTATTTAAAAATTTTATCCATCTATATTCTATTCAGATTTGTAAATCTGCGAATTGTGTGAGTATTCTAGAACAGAGATGATAATTGGATCACCACTTATTTCTCTGTTACACCGTTGGTAAGGCACTGAAATCTCATGAAGGCAGGGACCCTGTCTTTCATTCCTATTTCTAGAGAGCCTTGTACTTAGTAGGAACTTAAGAGTAATAGTGAATTGAGTTCTGAATGCATCAATTTTTGTTACTTTTGCACCTGATTTCATCCCACAAGTATGTGCAAATAGATAGATTCAAGTTTTTTTAGCGTAAATTCTTTATAGAGATGTGTTTTAACTCTGAATTAATAAGTAAAATTGCATTTGATTGGAATTTGGATACAAATGTGTATATCAAATTTTTTCTTAGGTACCAACAGCCAAGGTATCAGAGCTCAACCCTAATGCAAAAGTGTGGGGGACTCACATGCTACATGTGGAAGCAAGTAGTGCAGCAGACAGCGGTGTGAGTGCAGCTTGGGAGGAGACGCACGGCCGTCGCACAGACAGCGGCCAGGAGGGTGAGTGGTGAGCTGAGGGCGATGAGGAGTGGCTTTGCCCTCAAGGCTTTGTGTTTGTTTCTTTTTAATCCTCCTTTAAGAAATAGTTAATTAAAACTTGTGTCATGGTTTGTAATGGTATTTAAGAGCAAGGAGATCTTTCACAATCAAGTTAAAAATTCGAGTAACTGCAAATGTAAGCTTTTCTTTTGTTTTAACAGAAAGTTACTCTTCTAATCCTGCCTTTTGGGGTAAAATTCCTAATTGTAGGATTGGATGCCAGTGGTGATGGTGACAAAAGTCATGACAATGCAGCACTATCAGATTTACAGGAGTCAAACCAAACAGCTATGAACACTTTGGCCCTGGATCACTCAGAATATGAGTCTCCACCTGAAAATAGCGAAACAGGTAAAGGTATTTTATGAATTCATTTTCATATAGTGTGTGGACTTTTTAAACTTAGCTTGTTAAATCTTTCCCTAAACGTGCATTTCATCGCTTCCTTTGAGTCTGCTTTAAACTCACTGATGTGGATACAGAGATGAGTTCTGGTTGGGGAAGGTGTCATGGAGTGTCTAAGACCTGAGCAGTTCCTGAAAGACAAGTCAGATTTAATTAGGAGAAGCAGAAGATGGGCTGTAGGGCAGAGTGTCGTAAAAGTACAGAGAGGGAACATTAATGTTGAATTTTGACGCTCGAACCCTAAAGGACTTGGTTCTTCGTGAAAGAGGTATTTAAAGCTATTTTCAGAAGAAGGAAAAGAACAAGGAGAAGACAATAGTTCTCTTGTGGGGGCTAAGATATGGACCACCAGAGAAATGGCGTATAGGTGATGGGACATGGATTGCTCACGTCTGATTTTGTTTCTGCCTTAATCTGAAAAACCAGGCTTTTCTCTTTTTTTCCTCTCTTTTTTAAAGATTTTATTTTATGTTTTCCTTTTTCTCTCCAAAGCCCCCCGGTACATAGTTATATATTCTTTGTTGTGGGTCCTTCTAGTTGTGGCATGTGGGACGCTGCCTCAGCGTGGTTTGATGAGCAGTGCCATGTCCGTGCCCAGGATTCAAACCAACGAAACACTGGGCCGCCTGCAGCGGAGCGCGCGAACTTAACCACTCGGCCACGAGGCCAGCCCACCTCTCTTTTTTTTTGCCAAGGAAGATTCGCCCTGAGCTGACATCTGTTGCCAATCTTCCTGGGTTGTTTTTTGCTTGAGGAAGATTGTCCCTGAGCTAACATCTGTGCCAGTCTTCCTCTGTTTTGTGTGTGGGTTGGTGCCACAGCATGGTCACTGACGAGTGGTGTAGGTCTGCCCAGGAACCGAACCTGGGCTGCCAAAGTGGAGTATGCCGAACTTAACCATTAGGCAACAGGTCCAGCCCCAAGACCAGGCACCCCAACAGACCTAAGGGGCAGGCTGCACTCTCACTCTCATTATTAGCAGCTGGATGGGGCAAGTTGAGTGGAAGTAACTCCCCTAAATTGGTAAATATGAATTGAACATGGAGTGTGTTCCATCTCCCAGATGTTTCTATCTGAAAATACACTTGAGTTAGAGAAGAAGGTACATGAATGAGAAGGTATGCCCTTCCTTTCCATCGTTGTTACGATCTTACTACCAAATGGTCTATGACCTATGAAAGGTACATAATAAGCAACGTGTAAATGTTTGGCATTAAATGTTTGTTTATTTTCCCCCTTCAAGGGTAACCTCCTTGAAGACCTTGTCTTCACTGTGGATAATTCAGCCAGCGCTTGTTGAATGCCTCCACTGGCTTCTGTAATCACTGTGACCCCCCCCTTGCACCCTCACTTCCTTCCTCACTCTGCCTGGATTACCCAGACTGTCATTTCAGTTATTTTCTTGCATCCAACTTCCTTCGTAGTTGCTTAGCAAATGCCTCAAAATTGTTTAAATATAATGCTCTACCTTCTGTGTGCCTATTCCTGAGCAGATAGATAAATGCAGCTGAACAAAAATGTATAGTGGTGTGGAATGGTCTCTTTTTAAGTTCGTGATCACAGACTTCCCGCAGCATGGCCCCCAGTGCTGCTGTGTGGCCCAGTGAAGTCACTCTCCTGGACAACTACTTTATACCTCCTGTTCTCTCCTCAGACCCTAGAACTCTCCTCTTTGTTATTTTTGCGTATAGAGCATTAGTGAAGCATCATTGATGTACAATAAACATCACACATCCAAAGTGTATTATAGCTTTTCTGTAAGTTTTATTTTCCCTAGCTAAAAACGCGCTATTCAGTGCACTATAGAATTGATTTGCTGACTCTTCCATTCCTCATTGATTTCTCTACTGGTTTTGATAAGATGTCTATGCACCTGTAAAACCATTACCACAGTCAAGGTAATGAACATATCCATCACCGTGAAAAGCTTCCTGTGCCCTCACTCCTGCTCTCTCCCTGCCCCAGGCAACTACTGATCTGCTTTCTGTCACTCTGGGTTAGTTTGCATTTTCTAGACTTTTATGTAAATAGAGTTTTAGAGTATGTGCTCTTTTTGTCTGGATTCTTTTACCTGACTTACTAATTTTGAGATTCATTCATGTAACATTCATAGGTCGTTCCTTTTTATTGCTAATCGGTATTCCATTCTAGTGTACACCAGTTTTTTCATTCACCTGTTGATGAATATTTGTATTGTTTCTAGTTTTTGGCTATCACAAATGAAGCTACTGTGAATAGTTATAAGCAAGACTTTTTATGGACATTATGTTTTCATTTCTCTTGGGTAGATACATAGGAATGGAGTAGAGTGGATCATCTTGTAGACGTGTGTTTATCCTTGTAAGAGATGATAAAGCTGGGTCCATAGTGGTACCTTTGTTTTCCCATCAGCAGTGGATCAAAGCTCCAGCTGCTCTACATGCTTACCAACATTTGATATGGTCAGTCTTGTTAATTTTAGCTGTTCTAAAAGATAGGTAGTGGTTTTTATTGCAGTTTTAATTTGTGTTTCCCTAGTAACTAATGCTGGTCAAGCAACTTTTCTGTGCATATATTTTTGGTGAAGAGTCTGTTCAAGTCTTTTGCCCATTTTCTTATTGGATTGTTTTATTATTGAGTTTTGAGAGTTCCTTATATGTTTTGGACACGTCTTTATCAGATATGTAATTTGCAAATACATTCTCCCGGTCCGTTGGTTGCCTTTTTGTTCTCCTAACAGTATCTTTTGAAAAGTAGAACTTTACATTTTTTCATATAGTCCAATTTGTCAGGGTTTTTTTCTTCTAGGGATCTTTTTTTTGATGTTATACCTAAGAAATCTTTGCTTAATCCAAGGTCACAAAGATTTCCTCCTAGAAGTTGCATAGTTTTAAGTTTTACATTTTTTAAGTCTGTGTTCTGTTTTCAGTTAATTTTTTATATGATGTGAGGTATGGAGCAAATTTTTTTTTTCCACGTGGGGAGATGCATCTGTTCTAGCACCATTTGTTGGAAAGACTCTCATTCCTCTACTGCATTGCCTTTGTCAGAATCATTTGTCCCTACGTGTGTGGGTTTATTTCTGGATTGTCTCTTCTGTTCCATTGATCTGCTAGTCTGTTTTGACAACAGTACCACATTGTTTTGATTACTGTAAATGATTCTTAAAAACAGGTAGTGTTAGTCTTCCAATTTTGTTCTTTTTCAGAGTTATTTTGGCTCTTAGTTCCTTTCCTTTTATATACAAATTAGAGTGAGCTGGTCACTGTCTATAAAATGCTGAAATTTTTGTTGGGAATGCACTGAATCTGTTGATCAGTTGGAGAAAATTGACATCTTAGCACAGTACTCACGAGCAAGGTGTACATCTCTACTTGTTTAGGTCTTTAATTTCTCTTCGCTAGATTTTTTAGTTTTTAGTGTACAGGTCTTTCACATCTTTTGTCCAGTTTATCCTTAAATATTTCATATTTTTTGATGCTATTCTAGGTGATTTCTAAAAATTTAATTTGCAGTTTGTTAGTAATCGATAGAAATATAATTAATTTTTGTAAATCGATATCATACTGTGAAAACTTGTTAATAAGCTTACTTACTAGTTTTAGGAACTTTTTGTAGATTCCATTGGATTTTCTACATAGACAGTCATGTTATCTGTGAATAAATTCAGTTTTATTTCCTAGCCAATCTGGTGCCTTTTATTTCTTTATCTTGCCTGATTGCACTGGGTGGATCTTCCATTACAAAGATGAACAGATGTGGTGAGAGTGAACATCTGACTGACCTTAGGGGGAAAACATTCAGTCTTTCACCATTAAGTAAAATGTTAGTTGTAGTTTTATGTATAAGACTTTTATCAGGTTGACAAGGTGCCTTTCTATTAGGATTTGCTGAGAGTTTTTATGAGGAATGGTTGTTGGAATTTGTCATGTTTTTTTCTATCTATGGCAACAAACATACATTTTTTATTTTTTAGTGTGTTAAGATGAATTACATTGATTGATTTTTCAAATGTTTAACCAGCTTGCATTCCTGAGATAAGCCTCACTGAGTCATGATGTAATATACTTTTGATATATTATTGGATTAGATTGGCCAGAATTCTGCTTTGAGTCTTGACACTTGTGTTCATGAGACATATTCGTCTGTAGTTTTCTTTTGTATAGAGTGGCTGATAATACTCTATCCTTTTAACATCTGTAGAATCTGTAGTCATCACATCACTCATTCCTGTTGCTGGCAATTCATGTCTTCTCTTTTTTTTCACTCTAATTGATCTGAGTAGAGCTTTGCCAATTTTATTGATCTTTGCAAAGAATCAGTGTTTGGTTTCATTGATTTTTCTCGTTTTTCTTCTTCCCATTTCATTACTTGTCTTCTGATCTTTAGAACATACTTTCTTCTGGTTACCTTGCGTTTAATTTGTCCTTTTTCGAGTGTCTTAAGATAGAAGTGAGCTCATTGATATGAGGCATTTCTTCTTTTCTAAAATGGCTATTTAGTTCTATAAATTTCCTCTTAAGTACTGTTTTAGCACAATCGCACAAATTTCGATATGGTGTGTATTTTGTTTTTTTAAATTTAGTTCAAAATTCTTTCTAATTTTCTTTTTTTTATTTTCTCTTTGATCCATGTGTAATTTAGATGTACGTTATTGGGACCAGCCTGATCCTGTGGTGGTTGGGTTCACGTACTCCACTTCGGTGGCCTGGGGTTCACAGTTTCAGATCCCAGGGGACCTACACACCACTCTTCAAGCCATGCTGTGATGGCATCCCACATACAAAGTAGAGGAAGATGGGCACTGATGTTAGCTCGGGGCCAGTCTTCCTCACCCAAAAAATAAAAAAAAAAAAAGTATGTGATTTAGTTTCCAAATATTTGGAGATTTTTCCAGGGAACTTTTTAAAAATTGATTTCTAATTTGATCTTGTGGTCAAAGGATGTATTTTGTATGACTTGAATCC